CATGATGCGATATGTCAGTGAAAGAGCCACGAAAAGACGGGACTACAGAGAGAGACCCCACTAGAGAGTGAGTTCATTAGTTGACCCCGCATTCAAATCCAGTTTATGTATCCAATACTTTAGAGAGTTCTGGGCAATGTGCTAGACTTGCTTAATGTTAGTGACTGTTTACTTGACTGTTCTGTTGGGTTATACATTATTTAAATCAAATAAACGGATCAAGTGATCTTTCACCTGCCTTCATTAATTTCGAAAAATCTAAAATTTTCTAAACCCAAATTTGAGCTGAAGGTTGAAATTTTCTGTGTGGATCATAAAACACGTAGTTAATAATTGTTGCAAATTTGGAGACGTTCCAGTGACTTTCAAAAGAGAAATCATGAAAAAACCGTTTGTTCATAAATTTCTGGCCACTACTGTATATTCATGTATTTCTTTTGATGATTTAATCGTCCATCTTTGATTTCCTCACATTAAATGCATATATCAACTCCGAAATGAACAATCTTTTAGCTCCTCGAGAAATAGTCACTACTTTTCTCCGACGAGCTGTTTGATTGTGTTGCATTGCAAGACGATTCAGAAGCACTTTGAAACTTCCGTCGACCACCATTACAAAGTTTAATAGGCTTAGTTCGGCATCAATAAGCCTTAACCTTAAAGGATTGCTTGTACGACTTCACGAGTAAATCTCGAAGATACGTGCGAAGAAGCGCTGGAAGCCAGCTGCTCAATCCGTCGTTTTATCGCTGAAACTGCACCGAGCGCACTTTCTTGCAACGCCTTATTGCGCACAATTAAACAGGAAGTTCTACAAGCATAAAATGCCTAACATCTAACCGATGCGTGGAAATTGAATAGAAAGCAAAGATGCTAAAAGAGATTGTCTCGTTTCCGTAATGAGCTTCCTTTATGGATTGCTTTCTCTGATGAGAAGATATCATTGCAGTCTCGAATAGGAAGAGCGGCAGGACTAGCGCTGGTAAAAAGCCAAGCCATTCAGTGATCTTGGTTGATGCTTCAAAACGAAAGGACCCTCACTAGGAAACACAGGACATCAGAGCAAGATTGGGCGCCCACCCACAATGCACAGATTGTCCAAAAATCGATGCCAACAGAATATCGTGGAATTCATCATATTAGAGAAGTGACAACATAGCTCTCCCTACTCAAGTTTTGTGGAGTTTTGCCGGACTTGTGCGCGGAAACCCTTTTGACTGCTTATTCTTCCCTATTTGAACAATTTCCATCGAATATTCATTTAAGTTCGATTATATTTAGTATTTCCGAATCCTGGAGTCAGAAGATTCAAGGATTGCGGCAGAAGGTGAAGTTTCTGCTAGTCTTTCACTCTTTTCCGGAAGAAGAAAAGTAATCTGCCGCTGATCGCTTCTGTAAGTACCTGATAACGTCAGAAGACTGGCGATCACTGCTACTGAGGGTTGGAAATACATGTTGACGAACTCAACGGGGCTACATACCAGAACTGAAAAAGAACTAATCAAAGCAAGTAGATCAACCAAGATATACAAATGCTTGAAAGTCGGCCATCCGGACCATCGATGACATCACATTAATGAACTCTTATGAGAAGGCATGATGTAAAGGAAAATCGAGCATCATAAATGCATCATTTTGGTGAAGTATGTACTGAGAAGAGTAGCTTATAAAAGACCTATGAAATGGTTGGCAACTACTACATAGGTTGTCCCATAATTAGTGATTCACTCTACATTTACTATTATGAGAATTCTCGGAAAAATGTTGAAGGCTGAAGTAGCAACCACATTAGTTTACCTGAACAATTATTCAACCCATTCACGCGCTACTTTCCTTGGCTATTACTTCAATTTTTCTAGGAACCCTTTTTGAGCTCCCTTCTTCATCACTACCGGTAGAATCTCTCAAACGCCAAGTAATCTGAAAGATCTTCATGCCGCCACGCCTATCCCAAGATCAGATGAAAGCT